AAAGGAAGGTAGAATTGGGAGAGAGTAAATTTGTTTAGTTTATTGTTTTTCTCCTCTTTTTTGTTTTTCTTTTTATGCACGTGCGGCCGTCCTCATTTCGTACCGATCGTGTGGAAGGCCCAACTGCAGTGTTCGTGCTTGGTAGGCAGCCTTTCATTTTTGACAGGAACTGACGGCTCCTTTGCAACACATGATTTCAAAAAACATAAGCACAAGAAACGTAGGTTTAATATATCATATCTTGTGAATTTCTCGGGAAATTAGAAACATGGGAATGTTCTTAAAAATAGTCATTTGGGTGATACACAGGGAAAACGAAGTAATTGTAGACACGAGAATAGAATACCACCAAGAGGTAGGAGTAGGACCTCATGTATGTTTTCCTTCAAATCTCTATATAAATTAGTTCATTTCGTAGGATTTTCATGCATCAGTCCTCTCTTCCAAATGATTTCAGAGGAATTTCATCCTAAGAATTCAAATCCTTTTCCTTTGTTAGTCGAGCGATGCTCCTAACAATTTGTTAAACGATGGAAAAAACATTTGTTGCTACTAACTAAAACTCTATTTCTTTTTATATACTGACGTTCAATCAGGGTTGGATATACAGTGTAACGGCTGGAATCAGGTGACACTGACGAGTTTTGGCAAAACCTATAGTTAAACTACTTATTCATATATTATAGCACCATGATCTAAGCATAATTAGCATACTATGACACTAGTAGATACATTATGACACCAACGAATCAATTTTCTAGATACGCCACTGCGTTCAATCTTTATGTGTGTTCGTGAAAAAACATTCGCTGCTGGTAACAGATGGAGTCCTTGCTAGATTTTGGCAGCAGGCAGGCAGGGTGCTGCAATTACGATCTGTCGGATTCGATCGAGCAGGGATCGATCGTACTCGTGTGTCGGCCTTTTCGCCTGCATCTTGTCGCCTTCTTGCTCATAGCTGCTTACTCCTACTACTTGTACTATTTACAAGTGCGTATATACAGTACCAGAATTTCTGCAACGGTTTGGCTAGGTAGAAAAAATAGACCTGAACATTTTTTTTTAATAATGAAAATGGATTACATCTCTGGCTTTCTGTCATAAGACACACAGCCATAAGTACAGCCATAAGTTTAATAGTAATAAAAAGGTAAGGTAAAAGTAAATCAAAATGAGAAATAAGGTGATGGGACAAATCTCCAACTCCCCTTTATTATTGACTAGCGTTAAACCACATAAAATTTTTTTAGCTAGCAATTCTAATAGAACTACGCCACCCATAGTGGAACAAGAGACCCTTAGCTACCGATTCCAAGAGTATAGCACCATTGCGCATAGTATCCTGCTCTTCCTGTGGTAGCATCGTAAACCAAAAGTGGAGCTAGTAGGAAGATATGAAGATAACCTGTATAAGGTTAGATAATTGTTTACCATTAAAAACTTTATCATTACGACAACACCAAATTAACCAACATATAGCACTAGCTCCAATTAGAATCATCTTTTTAATGGACCTAGATATCCCTCTAAGCCAATTACCGAAAATGTTTTTGGCGTTACGGGGTGGGGGATATTAAAAGCAAAAAACACACATCTCCAAACAAACTGAGTGACATGACACTCAAAGAAAAGATGTTGGATTGTCTCTTGTGCATAGCAGAAAGAACAATGTTTGTCCCCCTCCCCCTCTCCCCAAATTTTCTTTTAGCCAGGTTATTATCTTTCGTTAGAATTACTTTCTTATGAAGAAACCACATAAAGACCTTGATCTTTAGTGGAATTTTCAAGTCCCACAGAATTCTCTTTTTGATCCGAACATTACAGTTCATGATCGTGGCATACATAGATTTGATGGAAAATTGACCATTCTTATGGAGCGACCATACAAAGCTATTCTTTTCATTTGACAGAGTTATATTAGCCCGAGGATCAAATCGTTCCACTCGATTAGCTTTTGGCCAACAATAGCTCTCCTAAAAGATATATTTAGCGGCGTTGTGTGTAAAATCAAAGGTGCTTTTTATTATTATTCTGTGATGAACAATTGGCATCGGAGATTATTGGTTTTGATATTTGGAATTTATTCACGAAGTGGTTTTGGAGATGATTGGATTTACAGGTAAATTACAGGTGCTGTTATTTTATGTGACCGGTCAGACCGGGCAGTCGTTGCCGGTCAGACCGGCGTGTATCGCGCGGTTAGACCGGTGCAGCCCACGGTCTGACTGGCCGACTCTGTGTCGGTTTTGGTTTCGGGTTGTTTGTTTGGATATCCGTGATTGTTTCATGATTATGGCTTCTAGATGGATACTATACGTATGTAATATTGTTGTTTGCTACTAATGAGTCAAGTTGGAGATAGCTTGGTCTCGGAATATGGTTTCCTTGTTTATTTCATGTGTAGGTGACTCGATGCCTCGGGAGAGTATTTACGGTGATGGACCGGGAGTCGGCTTGGGGATAAGACGACGTCCGTGGTGGTCAGAGATCATGCGGGATACTTAGGCTAGAGTTGATGCATGTGGTTGGTGAAGATTCCATATATGGCATACGATGGAGGTATTGTGTGCGTATGGGATGCGGAGTCGAATTTGGAAGGAGTACAAATTTGGTATTATTAGTTTTGTAAAGTTTGTTTCTTGTACTAGAGGGTTTCCTAAGGTGTTTAGGACTTCTAATATGAGTTTGGTTCGTGGCTTTAGGCTGCCTACCTCGGGTATAAATAGAGGGGGAGCGTGAAGCTTCCTGGTATCGCTTTTGAGAGCAATTGAGTTGAGAGTTGAGTTAGGGTTTCGAGTTTAGTCGAAATTTTTGTAAGGAGTGCTGTTGGTGCACTTTGTAAACACAGAGAGAATCAATAAAGTCGTCATCTACTTTGAGAGTTCGTCGATTTGTGTTTCACCGGGTTTCGGCGGTCTAACCGGCGACACACCGGCGGTCAGACCAGCGGAATCGCGGCGGTCAGACCGGCGGGTACACGGCGGTCAGACCGGCAGCGGCGACAGGCACAGGCAGGCGACTTTGGCGGTCGGACCAATCGATCTACACCGGTCAGACCGACGACAACCAGGCGGTCAGACCGGCAGGACAACTTCGGTCAGACCGCGATCCATCGAATTCGAGGATAACTTTTATTTCCGCTAAAAGTTTTCGGTTTTCGGGTATACCAACCATTCACCCCCCTCTGGTTGGCTTAGTTATTGTAATTTGATCCTACATTGTGCTCATAACTTTTGCCACAGTAGACTGTTTCTTTCGAAAATAGACCTGAACATGAAAGAGTGATCAAACTAGTATATCACTCTTGATCTTAAGAATCAATTTCCTTTTACTCTTACTAGTAACAATCAAGCATAGTGATTGTTGTGATTGCATCATTGCAATTTGCAAGCAAGCTTCGATATCAGAATCGTACGTAAGTACGATCAGAAGCCCGGACATGTTTACACAATCTGACTGAAAAATAATACTCCTACATATCAATCCCAATCCCAACACTCTTTTCTTCTTAAATATCCGGTGGAACTCCTGTCGTCAGTTCTTAAAAGAAAATCCCAACATGTTGCTTCCTACACCAGGAGAAGAGAAAAACGAAACTTCAGAGAGTTCAGAAGAGAGATACAATTCGACACACAATCTCATTCACCAACTTCGCAACCACTCTCTTGCAAAGACTTTTGCCTTGCCCGTCAGATCACAGATCGACCCGATGACCAAGACAGTAGTAATTTGATCAGGAGTGCGTGGTACGTTCACTGTGCAGGCAATCAAGTCAACCGGGCGTGCCGGTTTGGATTGCTTCATGGCCTACCGCCCCTTGCTTTTCTGTTTCCTGACGAACCAAACATTCAGAGATTCAGAGAGAGAGAATTGTGCAGTTGGCAGCAAGTCATCGTCGAAGAAAAGGAGGACGCAAAACAAGGGGCCCATTTGAGAACACACACATTGATGCAATATCATCCTCTTGTCACATCACTTGCAAAAGACATAAAGAATGGTCCTTTGGTTCATCTAGCTTCGCAAGCAAAAACTCTCAGAACTCTCCCTCTCTCTCTCGCTCTGCGCAAGAAGCTGATTGAACCTTTCGTGCATGCATGCATCTCGTTTAGTAGTATTTAGTATCTGTAGCAAGAGTGATCAAGACTAGATTAGGACTAGCTTAATTAGCAGTCCAGAAAAGGAATTAAGTTGTTAGTTAGTAAGTACTACATGGTTAGTTACCACTTCCATTATCTAAAAAAAGGGTTAGTACATGGTTGTCGCTTTTGGTCGAGATTGCAAACACTGAACTTTCGCTGTTGACACTGAAGCCCCTTTTCTTATCTGATCTGTCCATTCAGCTGCTGAGAGGTAGCGGCCGGCCGCCGTGATTTCTCTGCCTAATTGTTTTTTTCTTCTCCATCTCAATCTCTAAAATGACGTGCAAGAATTGTCAAAAAGAAAACGTTGAAAACAAGGCAGATTACTGAACTGAATACTGAACACATTTTTTTCCATGGAAGCCTAACACTACTGCGACTAACATAATCAATCTTGGATTGGATTCAACGTGATAGCAGTAGTCAATGACTGACCAAGATTACATTGGAGTACTAGCCTGTATGTATGTGAATGCAATCTGACTACATGCATCAGCATCTACTCTGATAGGCTCTTGGGTTGCAAATAATCGCCATTATTACCACCAAATAAACCGGAAGATGCTTGACAACGATGAAGAAATTAAACTTGAAGATTACTGAGACAGCATCCATAGAAACAGCAGTATACACACTGTATCTGTATGTGTCTTGCATCACAAATGTTACGCAAAATCACTTCTTTTTTCATGTAGTTCTACACCTTAATGCCTAATAGTAATTCTTTCTTTTCCTAGATGCAGATCATGAGTACGTAACACAATAGTGGATTAAATTATGGCGATTAAAAGATGGAGGTACACAAAAGGAATGAAGAAAAGAGAAGGAGGGTCCGGCAGTCAAAAAGTACTACATCAATGGTTAGACACCCTTCCCAAACTCTCTTCTTCGACATTTTTTTCAACAACCAAATCCATCATCAAACCATCTGCATGCTGCAAAAAAGCCTCATTTTCAGACACACAAACTCTCTCTCTCTCTCTCTCTGTGTCTCTTCTCTAGTAGTCTAGTCCTCTGTTCTCGCATCGATCAGATTTCAGATCTTGCATGCATGGAGAAGAAGCAGCAGCGGAACTACGCATGCAGATCATCAGAAAGCCAAGCAGTAGCTGCATGATGTACGTAACTGATGTGTGCAGCTATAGCTGTAGTTGTTGTACACTCGTACTCGATCTCTTCTAGCTTTTAGAAAAGCAGGAAAGGAGAAAGAAAAGGAGTGATTGCAGCAGAGGCATCAAACACACACAGCAGCACACCTAGCTCTGCACCGAAAAGGGATGGCAGCAAAGCCAAAGAGTGGAGTAAAGATATGAAATAACTCCAACGAAATTCAGACCACCAAAAGACTGAACAAAATTCAGAGCACCCAGTGTTTGTGTTTTTTTTTTCCAAAAGAGAAGAGAATGCCATGAACAGCCAACACATTTGACAGAGAGCCCTACCCAAAAAAAAGGAAAAGAAAAAAAAGCTTCTTCATGTACATCATCCTTGATCCTACTGTACTATACCTGCGGCTTCTTCTTCTTCTTCTTCTTCTTGCCGAAGTGTATATACTGCTACTGCTACGTACTACTACTACTACTACATGTGCTACTGCTAGTGCTAGCTACAATTAATTAACCAAGAAGATTAATTTCGATGATATCTATGCAACTCTGATCTCTCTCTCTCTCTCTCTCTCTCTCTCTCTCTCTCTCTCTCTCTCTCTCTCTCTCTCTCTCTCTACATGTATCGAATTCATGGGTTGCCTTGGTCCTCGGCTCCAATGGCGTTGTGCTGCCGGGACGGGCCGGACGGCGGCGCGGGGCCACGGGGCAAGAACCCGAAGAAGTTGTTGGAGACGCCTCTCTCCAGCGGCCTCCCCTTGAACGGCTGCATGCCTCGCGTCGCCTCGCAGCTCGACGCCTGCAGCAGCAGCAGCAGCAGCGCCGCTACCACCAGCCACCACCATGGCCGCCTCCTCCTCCTCCTGCTTCTCGTCTGCAAACAGCCGGCCATGGCGAAGACGACGACGACGACGACGACCAGCTAGACACGATCGAGCTAGCAAAACGAAGCGAGGAAGAAGAAGAAGAAGAAGAAGAAGATGATGATGATGATGATGATGATGATGAACACTAGCTAGTGTGGTGTGGCTGTGGTGATGTGGAGAAGAGAGAAGAGAGAAGAGAGCAAATGGTGAGTGAGGGGAGAAGAGGGGTGGAGATATATGGGTTAGGGAGAGGAGGGACAGAGGAGTAGTATAAAAGGATATATGTGTGACAATAGAAATTAAAAAAAGGGATGGTTGTTAAGCTTAGTTATATAGTACTACTAGTGCTAGTATTAGCATTGCATTATATTAGTATAGGATGGGATGGAGTTGTTCAAACCTCAAAGTCCAAGGGGGAGGAAACAAGGGGAGCATGTTAGAGCAAGTTAGGCATTATGTTTCTCCTCCTTTCAAACTCTTGCTTAGGAAATTTTCCATGACGTACCAAGGAAGAGGTACCATGAGGGAAAAACATCCATGCTTGGTTGTAGTTTTCCCACCTCAACTTTGAACACAGGAATTTTCGTTTTATCAGTTCCCATGGGAAATTAAATCAATTTATATAAAATTCTTGTTGATGAAATAATGGTTTGCGCATTTCTTCAAAAGGAAAAAAAAGAAGTAAAAATGATTATATATGCAGACGATCGATAATATGACTGTAACTATTACTCCCTCCATCCCAAAATAATTTCATCTTTCCTCCACTCATTTGTCCTACAAAATACATCGTATTCAGATTTGATAAAGTTAGGACAAATGCACTAAGACATTATAAATTTGTGTACAAATATATTGGGGTTTGATAAAGTTAAGACAAATGCATTGAGACATGATAAAAGTTGTGGACAAATATATTGGTACTTGATAAAATGGGATAAATGTATTGGGATTTGTTTGAGTGAAGGGTATTTCGGTCTTTTAAATTTTGTAGTATATGTAGGATGGGCTAAAAATAAAACTATTTTAGGATGGAGATAGTATTCTATTAGGACGATTATGCACAACTATATATTTTTCTAGTGCACATTTACTAAATACCATTTATGAATTTAAGGCTTTCCAAAATGAAATATTTATATATAAGATTTATGATTAGATACGAAGCAACAGTTTTATTAATATTCTAATATGCCCTCAAAGCTCAAAGATATAGCAGCATCATAAATTGAATTGTTGACCCTGAGGATTAATCTACAGATGATAATTTTTGGGGAAAGGGTGACGATGAAATATGAAAAACACTCCTTCTCACATTGGCAATGTGGAGTAAATTTTAGGCGCGTAATTTTTTGTTTTATAATTTTTCAGTCACTAACTAAATGTCCGTGCATTGCAATGGCAATTAAAAAAGAAAAACCTGTCGTACACTTTAAAGGCTAAAAAATTAAAATTATTGTCATTGTAAAATCTCCGGTTCATATTATTTGTCATCATTTTTCCTCACTTCAAAAGAAAATTCTCTCTAATGACTTGGAGTTGGAAAAGAAACAAAAGTTTACCTACATCACTGTTTGGGGATCCCACGTGACAATGATGAAGGATGGTGACGAGATTCACCACTCACCATCATCATTGGGGTCTTTTAATTAAAGGACTATAGATTTAAAATTGCAACACTTCTTTTTTTTTGTTTGAATTGATACATTATGTTTTGTGAAAGTTTCAATACTTATAACTTTTAACTTAAGTATTTACATGATCTTCTTACAAAACATGAGCGGTCAAAATCTAAAAATGAACAGTGTCTATATAGTGACAATGTATATATTCGAAAGGCAGTGTGAAGTAACGTGTAGTTTCAGTTTTATTTTTAATTGTGAAGTCACTGAGGGTGTGTTTAGTTCACGCTAAAATTAGAAGTTTAGTTGAAATTAGAATGATATGACAGAAAAATTAGAAGTTTATGTGTGTAGAAAAGTTTTGATGTGATAAAAAAGTTGAAAGTTTGAAAAAAAATTTTGGAACTAAACAAGGGCGTAATTTTGCATACTGTCGGCATGCATGTTGAGTGTTGACACCGAATTGAAGGAGGGAGCTAGAGCTAGTAAAAAGATGAAGCAGACATAGCGAGTACAAATGGGACGCGATGCCCCTTCTCTGTCGACGGTATGGAGAGCAGGATTTTTGCTAGCTAGGCTACAGTGACATACATATCTATATATCCACATTCCACGCCCTTTTGAAACACAAAATATCGATCGATTGGATGGGGACAAAACGCATATAAACATAGCACCAAGTATCTCGGTTGAATGGAGAGATTTCCGATTCAATAGCTAGCTACTTTCTCCGTCCCACTGTGTAACAATTTAGGATGGAATTAGATATATTTTACTACGAATTTTTATAGTTATAGGATGAATCTGCTATATTTTAGGATAGAGTGAGTAGCTTTGACTTTATTACCAGTCAAAATTTATCAAGTTTGATCAGTTTATAGAAAAAAATAGCACATCTAAAATATCTAGTTAGCTTTATTAAATCTAACATTGAATATATTTTGATAATTTGTTTATTTTATGTTAAAAATACTATTATATTTTTCTATAAATTTGGTCAAATTTGGAGAAGGTTTGATTAGAAAAAAATCAAACAACTTATAATACGAGATGGAGGGTGTAGCTCCTGGTTAATTAGCGTAATTACATCAGTACATGTGCATATGAGATTGCAATTTAGGACGACGTGTACTACGTAATGGCTATGCGTATGCGGTATGCCTACCATTTCAAGTCAAACCGATCGGGTACGTCAGGGAAAGCTAAGCTGCGCTGCCACCCAAACCCACTGATCGTACGCGCCACTGACTGCCCCTGTACGGCCAAAAGCTGTTGGCACAAAGCAATCTGAATTTTTTTTTGGAACTTTTTATTTTCAAAACTGAACTCTCCTATACAAATTATATCCAAATCTGAACTTTTTTATCACGACTCGCATGACGAGGTTTTTTCATGCTAGTTAGAGTGTGGCCGCCCACTATATGCGGTGGGAGTGATGGTGTTGTTTCGTCACACTTGAAAATAGGTTTGGAAATAGGTTTTTAGGGTTCTTTTTTGGAATAAAAAATGTTTTTAAAATAAAAATTCTCTACTGGTATTTAGCTAGTGGTTGCGTGCTGCTTGGCTTGGCGAGAGCAACTACGTACTCCTTCTGTCAAAAAAAAAAAATCCAATCCTCAGTTTGAATCTGGGCGCGATTCAAACCGAGGATTGAATTTGTTTTGGAACGGAGAGAATAAGCATCACCAGTTCATCACTGCGCTGCTCTCTGCCAACATCTCCCCGTCTCCCTATCTCTGTTCTGCTTGCTTCTTCCACAATGCCTCGTTTGAATCTATTCATCGCTCTTTCGACAAAGGCTATACTATTATTTTCTAATCAAAATACAGATTTATCTTGATTTTCGTCACATTTTCAAACAGCTAAATAGTGTTTTCGTAAAAAACTTTCTACATAAAAATTATTTTAAAATATTATATAAATTCATTTTTAAGTTTACAATAATTAAAACTTAATTAAAAATATACTAATGATTTTTTTGTTTGTATATTTCCTCCGTCTCTAAATATAAGAGATTTTGGTTGGATGTGATATATTCTAGTACAATCTCTTATATTTAGAGACGGAGGGAGTATGTCATAATTTTTCAATCTTCATTAGACTTCATTTCGTGTTTGTATATTTCGTATAGGGCTAGCCCAACGTGTGCATTCACCTGCGCTAGCTGCTACTCCTAATTAATTTTGCCACGTCTGCTAAACTAAAGAGAATTTTTTTTCCTTGGCCAAATTAGTTAGGCTGGTGGGTTACTGAACACCGATCATTACTTCATTAGCATTGTCGTCGATCTACTAATGAATACACATTTTTTTTATAATCTTCAGTACAACTCAGAAATAGTAACGATTAAAGATGGACGGTTCGACCAGCCAGTAATCAGACCGGACAGCTCCGGATGGTTCAGAAAGTTCAGACAAGCAGCCCAAAGTAACCCAAAATTAACGTACATGTGCGATGAAATGAGAAGTTCTCAGCTCAAGAACGCAGTGCTCTGTTCTCTTCTCTTCTCATGATTAAAGGAAGATGCCACATATGATGATCACACATGGAACAACAGCGAGAAAGAAACACAAAAATTAAAACAAACTGATTAAACACTTGTGCAGGGATTCATCTACAGAAAATACGTACGTGCGTGCAGCGAAAGAAACACTAATCCAGGTCGCTAATTAAGCAGAGAGACAGACAAGAGAAAGAAAGAGAGGGATTAAATTAAAGTTTGGCGATGGCAAAGCTTGTGCCTGCAATCATGGCGCACGGTCTCCTCAAATGCTCGTCCGCTAATGAAGCTGACCGACCCCACGGTTGCCTTTCTGTCGCTTGCAGTCAAGTGTTCCAAACGAAAATGCAGGTTGAAATGCAGCAGCAAACCCCAGGGTTTCAGCAATCTGCTGCAGAATTTTGCCTGCTAATTTTGTTTAAGATAATGATTTTTGCCTGCTAATTTAATCATGTTAGTTATCTCTGACAGTATGCAGATAGATTAGTAGGAGGAGATTAACAATTTTTTTTCTTTTTAAAACTAGAAGTATTTTGTTGTTGCTTGGTTTGTTCGATTAGTGTGGTCACCTAACTAGTAAACAGTTTGTGGCTACAGGTAGCCCTGTACTGAATCCTCAGACAAAGCAAAGGCATTGCTGCTCTGCAAAAGCTATGCAACGCCACTTAATTATATCTCGAGCCGAGGCTCCTCTTTCCGCTGGGATAGCCCCAGCCCCACTCTCCATCGATCGATCTCATGTCCTTGCGAAAATTATTGCAGATTCTTATGCCTGCATGCAGTGCTGCTGCTAATGACATTTTTGCATCGCAACGTATTGCTGATCATGAACCATAATAATGTGCTAGCTTTCTGCTCATTCCAACGAATTACTGCATTACAGGTTCAGCATTTGCATGATAAAGCCAAGATTTGTGGTGAACTATCATCGCTGCCTAGGATTCAGATGCAATGGGAGTATATCTGCTTGGTGGGTAGGCGTTGAAGGTCGATCTTATCTGACAAGACCCTGACTGAAAATTGTCAACTCTGAATGTTAAACTATATATCGCTCCCGGTAATGCGTGAGATCTTGGAATGTCACATGCATGGACTCACTCACCTCTTAATAATGCCTGGCTCCTGCTGCTCAATTAATCAAAGTCTTTTCAGCTAGTATCTCACAAGAAACAACAGGCTTGCATTGCATCAAGATAAGCTTCAGACTCGCACACCAGCAAGGCAGCAATCGGCAATTCACAGCATGGCTGCGCCTGCAGAGACAGCAGCAGCAATACTGAAACTAAATTAAGTATACCTAACA